ATACCCTATTTTAATAGCTTTTTTAATTTTTTAAATTTCCATATACATTACACTACATACATTATATACGTATAAAGAATGAATGCCAGAATAAATAGATCTACCATGACCCTGGTCATGAACTGACTGATCATGAGTAGTAAGTGACTGGGTTTGAAATTTAACCAGAGCCAAGGCCGGGGTGGGTTTGATAAAGAAAAAAGGTCAGACCCAGGTTTGTGACCAGGCCTATATAAACATTGATAAATCCTAAAGTATATTTTTTAAGTATATTTGAAATTCATGTTATTATATATATATATATATATATATATATATATATATATATATATATATATATATATATATATATATATATATATATATATTTATATATATATATACATATATATATGTATATATATATATGTATATATATATATATATATATATATATATATATATATATATTATATATATATATATATATATATATATATACATGATGTTTATATATCATACATCATTATCATATCATCATCATCATCAAGCTTTAGCCTTCCTCTTTTATGCTTTATGTTTCTCTAATATAAAAAATCTAGAGAATATTCTTTTCTTAACTAAAACTTGTTCATATCATATCTCTCTATATATAGTACTCTTTCTAAGTTTTCTTACATCTACCTCTACCAATTTCTCCTGAAGCTGCTACCTCTCTACATGCTGATACCCAAAACACTTTAATTTTCTCTGACAAATATTATTCAAAACAAATTTTTTGTAACCTCTGTCTAAGATTATGGCTACTTTACTTTCCTTGTTAGAGTCACACCACACATTTATCTGATCATAAGCTTCTCTTCAATAAATACTACACAATATAAATACTAAAATTTATACAATTATGTAAAGATATTGCATGTCAGCATCTAAATATATGGCAATCTATGTTTATGTTCATGTATATCCATATTTTTTATGCATAAACCTAAACAAAATAAGGATATATTTTGTATGCATTCTCCTGGATTAAAGTAGGTGAAATCTTTAAGCTGATCTCACTTCTGTAACAGCTTGGGGTATGTAGTGGCTTGAAGATTCAAACTCCAACAAAACTAAATTATTTACTGCAAACGGTTGTCATAACATTGTTGACACTCCTATATTAACAACAATGGAGACATCATTGAAATTTTTGAAAATAAAAAAATATAAAAAAGACAAATAATAATCCTTACACTTTCAGCCTTTTCAAAAGCACAATGCTCTTGGGCCTAGCCTGGGACCTCCTATATTAACAACAATGAGAACATCATTGAAATTTTTGAAAATTAAAAAAGACAAATAACAATTCTTACACTTTCAGCCTTTCCAAAAGCACAATTCTCTTGGACATAGACTGAAAGCTTGATTCACTCTACCATCATTGTGAGGTTGCTCACAATGATGGTAGAGTGAATGATAATATTTGTAGAAAAAATCTTTTTCTTTTTTTCTACAAATATTATCATGGTCGCTGCTCAAACAAGCTGTCATCTCTGGTTTGATCGACTAAAACTCATTCTGGTTTGTCATTCAGTAAAGTTTTATTCTTTTAGAGTATCTGTTCCTTCATGCTATATAAAATTTTATTCATCAAGTTTTTTCTTGACACCTCAAACTCTCACTTATTTTCATGTTTTCCTAACTCATACAACCTACAACTTTTTAAGTAACCATTTCTTTTCTTTTTAACTCTATCCTTTGTTTTCTAGTAACTTATAATTTAATAGTTGTTGGTTGCAACCTTGTCAAAAGTGAATTTGCTTATAATATACATACAGGGGCATGGAGGCTGTAAAAAGCTCATAATAGATTTTATTAAAAAAACCGATTAATGTGGGATTTTACCATATATGTTTGATATAAAGGCCCATACATGTGCGGCACTTGTCTGGTAAAAAACAAAATCTGTCATTTTGTCCGAGCCATATTTTGTGTGCATTTTTTTATAATTATTTTAGTTGTTTCAAAATTATTAATAAATTTTAGTAGTCTATATAAACTTCATTTTTTCGAAATTTTTATTTTTTATACAAAATAGAAAATAAAGCTATGTTAATTAAATACATTTTTTTTTTGTAAATTTTTTTATTATAATGTTAATTATAATAATTTTTTTATTATACTGTTAATTAAATACACTTTTTTTTTTGTAAATTATTTTAAGTTAATTAAATACATTTTTTTTTTTGTAAATTAATATTCATTTTTTAAAAGACACCTAAGCATTAAATTTTTTTTGAAACCAGTTTTTATCATTTATATTAAAACGTTACAATTAATTATTAATATAAATTTATATTTCAGTATTTGTTTAATTTATTGTCTGATGGTTTTTATAAATTTCAAGCGAATATTTTAGCTTTTAAAACTTTTAAAATTTATTTTATAAAAACTTAAACGTAAAACTTTTTTAATGCTTATAGAAACCAGTTTTTTTTAATACACTATTAAATTATTTAATACACTATTAAATTATTCAATACACTATTAAATTATATAATACACTACTAAATTTAATTTACATTACGTAATGTTTGCTCAAATTAAAAGTGTTTATAAAAGTAATCATAGAAAAAGTTTTGAACAATTTATCAAAAAAAATATTTTTATTCATTATATATTTTTTTAGAATATTACACATAATTTTTTTGATATAAATATGTCATAATTATATAAAAGTAATTAAAATATTCTTTAATATAAATAAAATGGGTTTATTGTAAACAATTATTAAAATTATTTTATTACTTTATTTAATAAAGTAATAAGTAAACATTTATTTGTGTATTTAATAAATTTATGACAATTTAAAAAGCATTTCGCAGTTTTTTAAGCTTAAGAAATTGATTTAAGAAGTTGAGATAAGGCAATATCTGTAAAACTTTGGCTGGTAAAATTACTGAAAGCTAAAGTAATAAGTTGAATTAAAACACTTGATGAAAACTATTATATTATGAAACTAAAAAACTTGTTGAAAAACTATTTAAACATATGTTAAACTAATAAACTACCAGAGACAACTTTGAGACAACATAACTTTGAGACAACATAACTTTGCTTTTATCTGGATTAATGTTAACACATAATAATAAAACTTTTGGATTAATGTTAACACATAATAATAAAACTTTCTTTTTAGCTTTCTTTTTCTTTAAGATTTTATTTATTTTCTTTTTATTTTCAGCGCATTTTTGAAATGCCTCAAGTTGTCAAAACAAACTGCTGTAGTCAAGTTGAAAAAACAAAATATTTTAAGTGTGGTTTAAAATGGAGTTCGATATTATGATTATCATATCATATTATTCTTAAAGAATAAATATTTCTTGTGTTTCTATGGTTTGATTGCATTTCACTATGTTTTATCAGTTATGTCCGCCAAACTTGAGTATTTATAGGACAAATTGCCCATGACAAAAAAGTTCACTACTTTGAGCCCTATATATATATATATATATATATATATATATATATATATATATATATATATATATATATATATATATATATATATATATATATATATATATATATATATATATATATATCTTTAGTAAAAATATTTTGTAATCTTTATTTAAAAAATTAAAAGATTTTAGCTTTATTATGCAATATTATTTTTTTTTTGTTATAATATAAATCATATTAAATTATAAATTAAAAAATAATTAAAAAAAAAAAAATTTTTATTAAAAAATGAGAAATTGTTTTTATAGATAGTTTACGCTTTTGTTTAATTCTACATTTCAAATAGCATTTTTGCAAAGCATCAACACACCACAGCGCTCATACCTTGAATATAAAAAGTTTTTATATTGTAGTTTTATTTAGCATTAACTTATTTAAGAAGTATTTCATATTTTTTATTTTAAAAATAAATATTGTAAAAATAAATAGATTTTTTTCAGAACGTCAAGAATTGCTATAAGGCCCATACTTAAATTAAAAAGTGCTAACAGGCCCATATTTAAATAAAAAAGTGAGGAGCCCATGCGGTAATCCAGCAAGGTCTCTGGGGCCACCACGTCCTTGTATACATAAATCTCTGTATTTAATAAATAGTAAAAGAATGCATAAATTTAGCATATATAAAGTATTATAAATTATATTCGTGGCTATCAACCCTGGTTAAATCATACAATTTTGCCAAGGCCAGGGCCAGGTCCAAATAAAGTCCTATTTTTAGCTGGGGTCAAGCTATTTAATAATCATAAGTAGAATCACAGTACCCTGATCCAGCCCTGACTGCTAGTTTAATAATAATATTGATACACAAAAACTTTTTACTTAAAAAATGTATACACATCGTTTTGGACACTATAACTGGGTTTATATTTTAAATGCTGCAGTTTTTAATATACGAAAATTTTAAATAAATATATATATATATATATATATATATATATATATATATATATATATATATATATATATATATATATATATACATATATATATATATATATATATATATATATATATATATATATATATATATATATATATATATATATATGTATATATATATATATATATATATATATATATATATATATATATATATATATATATATATATATATATATATATATATGTATATATATATATATATATATATATATATATATATATATATACATATATATATATATATATATATATATATATATATATATATATATATATATATATATATATATATATATATAGATATATATATATATATATATATATATATATGTATATATATATATATATATATATATATATATATATATATATATGTATATATATATATATATATATATATATATATATATATATATATATATATATATATATATATATATATATATATATATATATATATATATATATATATATATATATATATATTAAAAGGTTAAGAAAATTTAAAAAAAAATTAAAAAACTAAATTAAAAAAATTTAAAAAAATAAACGATTTATATAAAACATACGGCATTTCATGCAAATGAAGAGCTCTTCTTTGTTGGACATAATTTATGGGAATCGTACCAGTTCTTCCATCAGAGACTTTTTTTGCGTTATACCAGTTAGGATCCTTAGAAAAAAAAAAAAGAAAAATTAACACCAGTTTTTTATGATGATGATGATGACGATGGTGATGATGATGATGATGATGGCGATGATGATGATGATGATAATGATGATGATGACAATGATGATGATGATGATGATGATGATGATGATGATGATGATGATGATGATGATGATGATGATGATGATGATGATGATGATGATGATGATGACCATATTCATGTTCGCTAATGTAACCTTTTTTTGTTCTGTATTGTACCGTTTGTTCGTTTTTTTGTTAAGTGATTTTCTACTAACTTATAATTGTTCTGTTCTATTAAGAACATCAAGCACTTTATTTTGTAGATTACATCTTAAAATTGTTTAAACATGTGTATATATATATATATATATATATATATATATATATATATATATATATATATATATATATATATATATATATATATATATATATATATATATATATATATATATATATATATATAAACAGAATTGAATAAAATGTTCAGTAGAGAGTACGAATTATTAAATTTGAATATTATGTTGTTGTTTTTTTATTTGCTGTGTTTTAATTCAAATTTATGACTTTAGCTTTCAGTAATTTTACCAGCAAAAGTTTTACAGATATTACATTATCTCAACTTCTTAAATTAATTTTTTATGGTCATGTAAGTATTAACTTTATTTAATATATTTAATATGATGATTATCGTGCTTTACGTTTAAAAATATTAATATTATGTAAGTAGTTGTAATATTTATTCTACACAAACAATTTTATGTTAAAGTTTTTGTTTTCTGAATACTATTTTAGTTGTACAGCTGTAGACAAAATTTATTTAAAGCTGGTGGAATTAATAAAAGTTTTTCTAGTATTAACAGACAAAAATAAGATGCAGCAAAAGTAAAAACTATTTGATTAAATTAGTTTTTACTTTTGATGTATCTTATTTTTAATTAATATACTATTATGAATTAATATGTTTTTAGTTTGATTTTACAATTCATAACTCTCCATTATGAAATCTTAATAAGGAGGAGTTAATGGGGTTATTGTTAGATAACCAAAGCTATATACTTTTTAAAGCACATCATTGAGTTAAAGGTGAGAAAAATAGTATCTAAAAAAAATAAGTTTAACAAAAAGAACTGTTTATTATAGAAGAAAATTTTCTCTAAAAACATATATAGCTAAATTATTCTCTAAATTTTCTCTAAAAACATATATAGCTAAATTATTTTTCAGTTTTTGCAAAATTGTTTTTTTCAAAATCAATATTGTAAACTTTTGTGGCATACACATTTGTTTACAATATTGTATTTCAGACAGGCATCCCAATGAGGGGACGTAGGGGGTGCAGTGGTTTATACTGGATTTTTAGATGTTTGAGTTTTGACACTTACAGTGTCAAAACTTAAACATCTTTTTTATTGCAAAAAATTTGAAATTTGTTAATGAATATAAACTTAGATAAAAATGCTAAAGAAATTCTTTTATCAACTTGTTGCTTTAAGGGCTGGGTGGGCCCAAAAATTGGGGTTTTTTTGTCCTCAAACTCCAATCACTGCAACTCTTTGCAAAACATTTTCATTTGACATAAGCATGAACATACAAAAGTTTGGAGTTTGCACAATGCCTGTAAGTGTCAAAACTCAAACATCTAACAATCTTGTGTACACCACTGGGGATGTCTAGCCCCCCTATGAAATTTATTATTCGGCAAAATGGAATCTATAGTTTGCAGTCTGCAAATGTGTTAAGTTTTTAAGCTTCATGCCCTGCTTCATGTCCTGCTGCCTTGTAGGATATGCCTTTTTAGGCGAAGACTAGCAGATGCAAACTCCAACATAAAACACCCCCTGCCTTAAGGCTCTTGGTTGAGTAAAGGCTAGAGATGGTGTCTCGATAAAAATACTCATCTAGGGCAGATGTTAAATGCATCCGGCTGCTGTCTTGTAGAAGGCCTCCTAGGCAAAGACTTAAGGGGTAAACAGATTCTATCTGTTGACCAGCCTCGCACCCCTTCTCCATCTATTAGGCTGGCGCAGATGTATTTTTAATACATTGTTTCCAGTTTAGGATGTTGAACGCTGGATCTACTTGACTCGATGCATGGGTTTTGCTTGTGTCTCTGTTTTTATGACTAGGCAACTCATTCTATTATCTCCAAATGAGGGTACAGCTCTAAAACTCAGTTTTATGGTTCTGAGGCCGGCTGGTATTCAGGTTTCCCGAACTCTGTAGTAGCTCTCAGAGAGGATGATTCCATCAACAGCTGAAAAATATAAGAGTACTAACAGTGCCATGTTGCGCATGAATGGTGTCCCTGTTTGTACTTTTGGTGTGCATTGCCAAGGCCACATTGGAGCCCTTTGTTACGGCTTAGGGTTTATTAGTGGAAATGAGGCAATTGCTTGGGCTATAAGACAGTGTACTGAGTACTATCTATGTTTCGAGTCAAGTTCTTTAACAAATTTAAAAATGAATGAAGTAACAAAAACTATAAAACACAGTCATCACCAAGTTCGCTAAACCTATCATTCACCAATATTTGTGGTCTTCGAAGTAACTTTTCTTGTGTTGAGTCTTATCTCTTGCAAATTTCAGCAGACCTACTTGCTCTTTGTGAGACTAATTTGAGTTCAGCTGTCTCATCTTGTGATCTTAGTGCTGATGGTTATCTTCCTTTAATTCGCAAAGACTTTAATAGTCACATGCTTGGCCTAGGCATTTACAATCGTAAGAATTCACCCATTTGTCAGGAAACTAGGTTTGAATCCACAGACTACTCTTTTATGTGCTTTCGTTTAGCACCACTTCACTCTATCACCTTTCTCTTTGTTCTATATCGCTCTACTTTATCTCAAGACTGCACTTTTCTTAATGTTATTTCTAATTATATTGACCAAGTCCTCATTCTTTATCCATCAGCCAATATTGTTGTTGTTGGTGACTTCAATGTTCATCACACTGAATGGCTTGGCTCTAGTGTCAGTGACTCCGCAGGCATTAAGGCCCACAACTTTTGCCTTTCTCAATCCTTAACTCAAATAGTCAACTTTACAACTCGCTTTCCAGATAACCCGAATCATTTACCTTCTCTACTCAACTTATGTCTTGTTTCTGATCCTAGTCAGTACTCAGTTTCTCCACATTCACCCTTAGGTGCTTCCAATCATGGTTTGGTCTCTCTAAAACTATTATCTCATTCTTCTTTATCATCAGAATCCCACTATCATCATAAATCTTCCAACTACCTTAAAGCTGACTGGGACTCTTTCCGTGATTTTCTTCGTGATGGCCCTGGGTAGAAACCTTTTGACTTCCTGTTGACAAATGTGCTTCTTACATAACTTTATGGATTCAGGCTAGCATGGAATCCTTTATTCCCTCTCGACGATTCCAGGTCAAGCCTCACTCTTCTCCATGGTTTTCCTCACATTGTGCTGCTGCAATTGTCAATCGAAACCATTACTTCCATATCTATCAGCAAAACAATTCTCCAGAAAACAGACGTCTGTTTATTACTGCTAGGAACCATTGTAAAAAGGTTTTGTCTAACGCCAAAGCCCGCTATTCTCAGATCACAAAATCTTGTATTTCATCACAAAAATTAGGCTCTCGTGACTTCTGGAGAATCTTTAATAGTATCAATAATAAGGGCAAGTCTGTAATTCCACCTCTTTTGTACGGTTTAGACTTTGTCACCTCACCTAAAGACAAAGCTGAATTGTTTGCCAAGAACTTTTCATCAATATCATCTCTGGATTCCACTAGTTGTGTTCTACCTGATATAGCCCTATACTCTTTTTAATTTACATTAACGATCTTCCAGATTTTCTCACATCTAAGGTGGCATTGTTCGCTGATGATACTACCATTTATTTTTATCACGATAAGAAGCCAACTCCCTCTGATTGCTTGCAGGGGCATCTGAGCTTGAAAAGGATCTCACTTCTGCTACAGCATGGGGCTCACAGTGGCTGGTGAGCTTTAATTCAGATAAAACTCAATTTTTTTCAGCCAATCATTATCGCAATAATTTAGACCTTCCTATATTTATGAACGGTAATGTACTCGATGAGTCTCCTACCCTTCATCTTCTAGGATTAACTCTTACTTCTGATCTTTCTTGGAAACCTTATATCAAATCCGTTGCAAAATGAGCATCTGCTAAAGTCGCTTCTCTTTATCAAGCTCGTCACTTTCTTACTCTGGATTCTATACTCTATCTCTATAAATCTCAAATCTGACCTTGTATGGATCACTGTTGCCATATCTGGGGTAGATCTTCTAATGATGCCCTTTCTCTTTTAGACAAGGTGCAAAAACGCATTGTAAACATAGTTGGACCTACTCTTGCAGCCAACCTTCAACCTCTGTCACATCGTCGTAATGTTGCTTCTCTTTCTTTTTTCTACAAATACTATAATGGGCACTGCTCTAAAGAGCTAACGTCTCTTGTGCCATCTACAAAAATTCATTCTCGTGTTACTCGTCATTCAAATAAGTCTCATTGTTTTTATGTTACTGTTCCTAAGTGCTCCAAAAACTCTTATTCGTCTAGTTTTTTTCCTCAAACATCAGTTCTTTGGAATTCACTTCCTTCACCTTGCTTTCCTGATTCATATAATTTGCAATCTTTTAAGTTGTTTGTCAATCGTTATCTTGCTCTACAATCTTTATCTTTTCTCTTCCAGTAACTTCCAACACTAATTAGTGGTTTCTTGCAGCCTTTTTGGAAGTGAAAATAAAAAAAAATAAAAAAAAAAAGCTTTAACATTAAAAAAAAAAAATTTTTTCAAAGTTTTTCAAAATTACCATTAACATTGCTTATTAGTTATAAAAATATTTAAGAACTCTGAGTATGTTTACAAGGTTCTTGTACAAGAAGCAATAATCTATATGTTTCCTAAGTTCAAGCAACTCTCAAGAATACAAGTATATATTAACATTGAACTGTAATATAGTATATACCTAAAATTTAGAATACAATATAA